TTTTAATTTTTCCGAACAAATAGTTGCAATTGTTTGGTAATAGGAAGTGAAATTGACGGAAGTAACACTAATAATTCGGTACTTGTTTATTAACTTTAAATTTGACTTCTTCAGTAGAAAAATGTAATTCTTGTACTTTAAGAGCTGGATTAGATCAAAACACGCCGAAGATTAACCCGGTCCAAAATCAAAATGTTTGATTTTAAATTTTTAATTAGGTCTCATCTCTCTTAAATCTTTCGTTTCTTCGAAGAAACAACATAATTTCTGACAAAACCACGTGTATTAAATAATTAGGCCTTGTATGGGAGTGATTAAAATCAGATTAAAATTGAAAATATAGTCGTTATTGTTGACTTTTATTAGACGAGTGGGACCAATAACGGCCATATTTTCAATTTTAATTGGCTTGTAATCCCCCCCGAACGGGGCCTTAATATTGTCTGAATCAGTCAAGCTATGACCGGCCTTCAGATTAATTGAATTCTACATATTCAAAAACTTTTAATTGAAGTTTAGATTTCTTAAAACAGACAAATCCCGCATGTAATATTTTATAGAGTAATGCTATTTATCCTCACTGGAATTACAAATACAGTTTATGTAACGTTAATGTAGCATGAAATGATAGGTAAATTAAATAAGTTATTTCATTTCACATTTCAAACCTATCATTAAAGTCACCTAGACTATGTTTATAACCCTACTGGGAATGAATAACATTACTCTATTTCATATACTTGAACACTTTGATCTATAATCATCAAGCTGCATTCGATTCAAGAAAATTATATAAAATTCAAGCAATATTTTAAACTTTGATTAAATCAAATGTTACGACATGTCCAACTCTTACGTTAGTGAAAACCGAATAGATAAAAAAGAAATATATGTAAGATATTTATATGTTGTCTGATAAGTGTGTTTTGCACACTTATTTAGGTCACAAAACATGAAAAATTGTTGATGTATATGTTGAAATATGGCTTAATTCGATATAATTTGTGTTTATAGGATTACATTGATGGATGGAATGAAACAGGGCTAGGTGTAATTTCCTCTTGCATTTTTCAATGGTCTTGGTTCATAGTCCTTTTTACTTGTTTTCTTTTTTCTAACCTCTTTCAAAACATGAATTATGATAGAAAAATCTTACACCGCCAGGGACCGGTTCGACTTGGACAGCTTTACAGTAATTGTTTTCTTCGCTTGAAGAATTTATAAATAAATATAAATGAGTTATGGATAAATTAAAAGAAGTAATACTTATAAGTCAATTAAAATGTGTTACTGAAAATGAAGTATGATAAATTTATAATAAGTTAAAAATTTGCCAAACATAAATCGAAAAGGTCAAAACTTTTTGGTCTAGTCGGGGTGACTTGGTCTTCAAAACCATAGTACGGCTAGTTGTTTATACATCCATATCTACTTTCAATAATGCTAAAATGTACATTCATTTCCTTACATCATTATTTACATCCTCTTTGTTTTCAAAAATTGTGAGACGAAAAAATGTTTTTTTTTAAACTGTTCAATAATGTGTTGTCATGTGACACATTTACGATGATGTATGTAGCACGATTTATATACTTTACATCTAAACTAGATATAGCAACCATTAGCATCAGTTAATATGAAGCTTCGAGTGAGAGTTAAGCCATTTTGTTGGGTAGTTTTTCAAACCAAATATCGGAGAAGGAAAAGATTTGGGAAAGAGAAAATTATCTAAAATTTTGTTTTTTAAGGTTTAATTTATTAATAAGGCATTAAATATTTTTTTCCCCTCAAAATTCAAGTGGTACATGACTTGTGATCAGTTCCATAAATTGTGTGATTATAATATAACTTAATACGTGACGGTGACCTATAAATTTCATGTACGCGACTGTGACATTTTTAAATTTTATAATTTATAAGTCACGATCATATATAGAACAAGTCACATGCAACTTGATTTTTAATTTTTTTTTTTTTTTAATTTTTTTTTTTACAAACTTGTTTATTTTGAAATTGTATTCTTAAACTATTGTAATTATGAAACTTTCCATTTAGGAAAACATAACAAAATTTAAAATAAGAAGCCGACTATTTGGGCCCACTTGTTTTTAGTTAATTTATTAGGCCCATTCTAGTTAAGCGTTATTTGACAAAGATCTTGATAAAAGTTTCAGCAGATTTAAATAAATTTATTGATGAAATATATGATTGAAAAATTGATAAAATTTGTGATTTTCTCGAGCTATGTAAACCAAATTGATTCTGGAATTTGTGCTCAATTTTTTAGCAACTTTTTTAATTTTTCCGAACAAATAGTTGCAATGGTTTGGTAATAGGAAGTGAAATTGACGGAAGTAACACTAATAATTCGGCACTTGTTTATTAACTTTAAATTTGACTTCTTCAGTAGAAAAAAGTAATTCTTTAAACACGCCAAATATTAACCCGGTCCAAAATCAAAATGTTTGATTTTAATGGGCATTTCCACTTGTACATCAGGTTATGTAGATCAGGGGTTACACCCTCCTCACATGCGGGGTGGGACCCACTGAAATAATATTTTTTTATTTTAGCAGATCCCACCTCCCATGTGAGAGGGGTGTAATCCCCGATGTACACCCTAATGTACCACAAGCATGACCCGATTTTAATTAGGTCTCATCTCTCTTAAATCTTTCCTTTCTTTGAAGAAACAACATAATTTTTGACAAAACCACGTGTATTAAATAATTAATGTTGTCTGAATCAATCAAGCTATGACCGGTCTTCAGATTAATTGAATTCTAGATAATCAAAAGAGAAATGCTATTCATCCCAATTGGGGATGCATTCTCAGTCTATGTAGCGTTAATGTGTCATTAAATGATAGATGAAATTAAATAAGTCATTTAATTTCACCTATCATTTAACCAATCATTTACATCCACATAGATTGGGGATGCGTCCCCACTGAGAATGAATAGTATTTTTCTAATCAAAAACTTTTAAATGAAGTTTAGATTTCTTAAAACAGACGAATCCCACATGTAATATTTTGTAGAGTAATGCTATTCATCCTCACTGGAATTACAAATACAGTTTATGTGGCGTTAATGTGGCATGAAATGATAGGTAAAATTAAATAATAAGTCATTTCATTTTACATTTCATTTAACCTATCATTTAGAGTCACACAGACTGTGTTTGTAACCCCACTGGGGATGAATAACATTACTCTATTTTATATACTCGAACACTTTGATCTATAATCATCAAGCTGCATTCGATTCAAGAAAATTATATAAAATTCAAGCAATATTTTAAACTTTGATTAAATCAAATGTTACAACATGTCCAACTCTTACGTTGTTAGATAGTGAAAACCGAATAGATATATGTAAGATATTTAGATGTTGTCTTATTCAGTCCGACGTGTTAAGTTCCACCTAAATAATTGTTATATGAAGTTACTATTAGGGATCAAAGTCAAATTCCCTTGATTAATTCTAAAGCAACCATGAACTTGTTTAATTGCCAGCTTAATGATTGTGTAGTCCAATGACTCATTCTTCATCTAACTCATCATTGCCACATTCCTCTTTCAATAATATAAAAATTTATACAAGTATTTTTTTTTAACATAAATGAATTAAGATCAACCGTCATCTTTGTTATACATCCGAGAATAGAAAGCTAATTCAATGCGAATTCTCGAAAAGTAAAATATGAATCATGATGAATTTAAATAATCTTCATCCAAAACCTTCGATATCAAGAACGGAAAGGAAGATGAAAGTACAAGAAATATATAAAACAGCTCGCCGTTTTTCTATTTTTAACTATAAAATTAATTTATAGATTAGTCATAGTTCCATCATAAAGTTACAAAAATAATCATATTGAGTTTAATAGATTCGGTTAAGGTCGCAATAATAGACCTCAAGTTAAATCAATTCTCGTGGGAACGATATTCGAAATTATAGGATTTCCACTTTATTACTTGTCAGCGAACCGTATACTTGTGGTGGTTTTATTCGAAACATATTTTCGTGAACATTGTCTTATTTAGTCCGACGTGTTAAGTTCCACCTAAATAATTGTTATATGAAGTTACTATTAGGGATCAAAGTCAAATTCCCTTGATTAATTCTAAAGCAACCATGAACTTGTTCAATTGCCAGCTTAATGATTGTGTAGTCCAATGACTTATTCTTCATCTAACTCATCATTGCCACATTCCTCTTTCAATAATATAAAAATTTATATGTGTATTTTTTTAACATAAATGAATTAAGATCAACCGTTATCTTTGTTATACATCGAGAATAGAAAACTAATTCAATGCGAATTCTCGAAAAGTAAAATATGATTCATGATGAATTTAAATAATCTTCATCCAAAACCTTCGATATCAAGAACGGAAAGGAAGATGAAAGTACAAGAAATATATAAAACAGCTCGCCGTTTTTCTATTTTTAACTATAAAATATCGGCACACCGAAAAAAAGAAATTATGACTCCAATGATGGGTTTGTAGCACGTTATACCAATCAGTAATCACTATTAAAATATAAAGATAAATATTCAAGAAAAAAAATTGTATTGCATTAAGAAATGATGAAATGAAGATGCGTGATTGAATTTTTACAATGGATGAATAAGAATCACATTTCGTTAATTACAAAAGTGACCTTAAAAATCTTCACTCGTTTCTTTACTCTCTGATTAATTTGCATTAGTATACGGGGGTAGTTCCGTCTCTGTCATTGGTTGACTCCACTCTCATTGGAACTCGGGACGACTCGGTGGTAACTTGCCCACCCACTTGCCATCTCCAATTCTCTCTCTAGACCAGTCTTGACTCAGCACAGCTCCACTACACCTCCCCCGGCCGCTCAAATCAATTTACTTTAAAAAGTTACAAAATAATTAAAAAAGGACAAAAACAGCGCGAAGAATATTCTAGCATTCACTGTGCAGAGGACCTAACTCAAATGAGTCAACAAAGTTCGAAATTCTTCTCACCCATGCAAAAGGGGCCTTGTCTCGGCCCGAAAATCAAAGTTGCTCAGAATCCCAACTCGACAATATCTCTGAAAATCATCGAATGTCATGAAGCGGGCCGACTTATTCGATTCCGTGCGGGCCAAGTACCGGAGGATTTCTTCAAAGAGTGATTCTTCACAGGGAATGGCAAGTGGGCCTGTATTGGTGAACCCATATTCTTCTTCTGCTTGAACCAGTAATTTCTTGAACAATGGATGGTTCAGATATGTAGCTCGGACTACGAACCTTTTGTTATTAGACCCGACTGTGACTCCCACATGACCCGCCGGCACGTCGGATGGTATACGCCGGCAGGTGCTAATGGCCGCCGCCGCCGCCTTCTTCCGCCATTGTCGAAGCATCCAGCGAAGTTTTACAATGTGGTGGATTTTGCAGCATGCAGACATTTTTGGTACGAGGAAAAGTTCAAGGAAAATTACGTTTGTTTTCAATGATGTGTTTTGAACAAGAAAGTGAGGAGATCGAGTTACGGGGAATGAGGTGGGGATTATGGGATTTATAACGTTGGTTTGAGCAAATGCCCTCAGTTTTGTTGATAATTACAAAACTGGAACAATGGCTGGGATTGGGTAATTGCTTGAGGCGAGTTTTATATATTATTTTTCATAAATTAGATTATCGAAATGGATAAATAAATCATTATCTTCTTCCTTTGGCGGCAAAAAGTGGAATACAGGTTGGATGCATGAAGCCCAAAAATAAAATTAGGAATTTACTTGAATATTCTTCACTAAAGAAAATTACTGCATTGCATTTAAACTTAAAAACAAAAAGTTAAGCGTGTTTGACAAATTTATAAATCATTTATAAATAAGTCTCAAATGAATATTAATTATGAATATGTCGACGAAATCAATTTTAGAAATGAACTGTATTTATAAATTCTGAGCTTGTTTGACAAGGATTAAAATCCAATTAAAATTGAAAATATAGTCGTTATTGGGTCCCACCCGTCTAATAAAAGAAAATTCCAACGGCTAGATTTTTCAATTTTAATCTAATTTTAATCCCTCCCCAATAAGCTCTCTATGTCCTTGTTTGGTTCAATTAAAAAATCTGATTAAAAATTAAATTAAAGTCAATAATTAATTTTAATCGCACATTTCATGAGATTCATAATTTTTCAACTAAGCATTTCATCATTTTTTTTTAATCAAATTTTATTAAAAATTGATTTTTATCCAAACCAAACAAGGGATATATCAATATCAAGTACTATGTCGCCTCTTAATTTGCTTAAATTTTTTCATGACCTTCAACTCTAACTTTCGTTAAAGAACGCTGTGTTTTCTATACTTTCGAATAAGTTATATCCCTCTTTGAGCCTAATTTTTTCATAATAAATTTTGTAAAAAAACGTTTTTCAGAATATGTGATTAAAGATGAGAAAAAAGAACATATTAGCTCCGATCCTAAGTCAGTCTCTGCATTCAACTTAACGGATATGCAATTAAAGAAAGGGTTTTCCCGCAAGGTAAGGAAGAACGGCATCAGTCGATAGTAAGTGCACGAAGTAGAAAGCATCCACATGCAAAGTTGGAGAAAAAGTTCACTCAAATATATTTTGTTCTTACGGGTAGTTGGCTTGGCCCTATAAAAGATGCCGATAAATAAAAAATTACATTTTTATATTTGTCTAGTAATTTTATATTCCCATGAACCATGTGCAACACTGTCCCATCTATCGTTTTATTTAAAATTCCTTGGCTACAAACCAAAATTTATCAATTTTTAATCCTTTTTCTTGGTTACATTTGAGTTTAATCGTGCTCTTGACGTATGGCATTGATGTGAAGTATGAACCCTAAAATTAAAATTGTGATTTTCTTGATTTAGTTTTTTTGTTTAGGGATGAAAAGATTCTGATTGTTTTTGGTAATGGATGTTGAGATTTGAAGGATATGCCAAGGGAGAATGATACCCTAGGCATCATTAAAGATTTGAAGGGTCGAGAATTTCGCACTGTCTAATCCAACATATAATATTCCATACGCTAAAATATAAGGATTTAAAAATAAACTAACATTGTTCAATGTATTGGGCAAATTTGCATCCCAAACATGATCCCGCGATGATGTTACATATTTCCTCGTTTTCTTTCTCAAAGTTGAGACTTTTGTGCATTTGTTTCTATTCGATCATACTCACAAGCACTTGTGTAATCGTAAGACTTGGAGAATACAATGCGAAGATGTACAGTTGAGATCTCGATTCTTATTAATGATTTGTTGCATATGCGTCATTGTGCTATAGTGGCAAATTTGTGTGATCCCAAGTGCCAAGAAGCCATATGTTTTCACTTGTTTCCAACTATTTTTGCTCAGCCTCGAGCATTGAGAGTCACTTCCGCGACCCTCATTCTCTGTGTACAAGTTATGAGACTCTTGATTGACTATAGACTCTTTATACGTAGCTTACTTAAGTTGGAGCACATGTCAATAGAAAATTCAAGTTTCGTAATAGTATAATCATCCAATGCAATATATTGGGACACAAGTTTCGTATACTAGAATTTTACAGCTCACCCCTCTTTTGCTCCACGACCACATGTCAGGAGCCTATATATGCGTCCGAGTTAAGATACAAAGCATTTGTCGTATATGTCTCAAGTCACTCTCAATAGTTTATTCAACTTGAAATATAGCTTAAGATGTTCAAAGCATGTCGGGCATATCAATTGTCATATTGTAGTTTTCGCCACGATACGAGACCCAACATACACGACCCATGGTCCGTCGTCTGTTAGGTACAATCCAAATGACTTTTTATATTTGATTTCATACGAATCATACAATAAATTGTATGTCTAGGTCATTTATTACTTCATTGGATAGTCACAATAACAAAAAATTGGGTACTACCATGCAATAATGGCAGCTGGTTTTTAGTATGTTTGTCCTTTTGATTAACGACCAACTAGTTGTTCTTGCTTGTAATGTAGTGAAGGTTCAATTAACACAATCTCCCACTGGATAATCTTCTCTTAAATTCAATATATTTACTATGTTCTTCGAGTTTTCGAATCCTCCAAAATGTTTGAAGTCACTTGTCACATAAACTCTTGTGCACGTGTGTGGGCACCAACATTTGGATTAGAGCTAAACCGTGTGATAAAAGATTCAGTAATGGTCGGGATGACAGTATAAAGTCTTAACAAAACTTGCTAATTATAAGATTAACGAGGTGTTTAAGGCCGACAGTGATTACTGTCTGATTGCACCAAACAGTTAGGTTGTGTTTTATATGTTGGCTTTTCCCTAGAAAATGGAAAAAGTTTTCCAATTCCACCTTTTTGTTGTGTTTGATAGGTTGCTTTTTCCCTAAAATTGGTTTTCACTCTTGCCCATTCACGCGTCCATTTTCCATGTGTGAAAGGAATTTGTTTTCCTTTGGTTTGGTTGGTTTTTCATTTTCTAGCTTTCCTTCTTTTTTTTTCGCAATTGAAAAAAAAGTAGATATAATGGTAAAAAAATTTATCACTTTTATTGACAATTTTCATGTAAAATAAAGCCAAACGAATGATATTCGTTATAGTAAAAAAAAAATCAATTTTTTTTTTTTTGGCAATTGGAACCAATTCTAGACCCAATTGTAGAAAAAATTATCATTTTAATGGACAATTTTCATGAAAAATGAAGTCAAACGGACACCAAACTTTTAACATTTTTCAGGTGAAAAATTATATCAATCAAACACAATTAATTATAATTTTCAATAAAATAATTTTTAAGCAATTTAATTCTCTGAAATTCATTTTCTTTCCACTTATTTTCCACATTTACAATCAAACGGATCCTTAATAACATTTGATCCGATAACACGGTTTATCCAACATAATTGGTCTATATATGTTTGGCATTATTCGAAGCAAGCTGCCACGTTACATTTTTGTAAATATTATGTTATAAACAATTTTAATGTATTTTTTCGATATTATTTTTCAGTTTAAACGATGTTAAGGCGGAGATTATGCGCAGACAATGCGAACGTGAAGGCATAATCTTGATATTTGTCCTTTTAAACACAACGCTCTAAGGATTCGTTTTGCTTTCGCTTCTTCTTCTTATAGAACAGCTTTGTGAGAGAATTACGTTATGTAAATTTCCTCTAAAAAAATTTCTAGTTAAACAAAATAATTTTAGAAAATTATCAAATCATATTCAAAATCAGCTTCTTAATTTCAGAAATTACGTTCGACTTTTCAAAAGTCTTTCTCTCAATAAGAAAAAATATATTACTAGAATACTAGTTATCAAGAATATGTAAAGACTTAGCTTTAACGGGCAGATCATGCTTCCAGCTAATCACATGTCATATGACATTAATTAAATCAAAACTTTCAGATTAAATGAACCTTAATTATTTTTTTCTGATTATCCATCAAATTTAAGGATAAACATGAAACTTACAAAAATAAATTATAATGTTTGTCTCGACGTCTGTTTTGTCTTTACATAAATTTCTGGCTGTTAATCATAAATTTATCGTTTCATTATTTGGTTTTAATTAATTTTGTTGGTCAAAATAAAATGCAGATTTTTAAATATACTAATTAATTTTCTATAATATATATTGTGTTGCGCCCAAATTGGCATAAGTCCAATTGTCCAAAGTCCAATGGCCCAAAAGTAAAGAAATGACCGAAGCTCATTTGCAAAGGCGCATCGGTCGAAATCTAGAAATTCTGAGGTGCCATTGCCCGAAGCCCAATGTATCTCCGAGGTTCAACATTACCGAAGCACCTCAATGCCGAGGCTCAAGAGAAAGCGGAAGCACTAAACAAATGATAAAGTTTTGACGCTGAAACACTACTTGTTCAATTAAAGCTCCGAAGCCTATACCTCAAATCGAGGCTCAATAAAGTAGAATTTGATGCTCAACTGTGAGAAATGATGGCTTACGATTGAAGATCTTAAAGTGCATAAGATCCACTTGGAATTATTGATTGGACAGCTGCAATGAGTAGAAATGATTAATCATGTCAACACAAGGTCGCCTTCTTCAGAAGCATTTAAGGTGCTATAAGCTAAAACAATCAAAAATAATGCCTATAAGGTGATGTTTCGGTCAAGGAGATGATGTCACGTGTCCACTCATCCAATGATTATTATTGTACACGTAATACTATAAATAAACTCTCTTAGTGTTATAACAGGGGTTGGAAAAATGGGAGATCAATAACACAAACATACTTTCTCTCTTTGATGTCGAAATTTTGAAGAAGAACATTGTGCAATTTCGGTGTTTATTTTGTTTCTTAGTTAACCGTTCATTATCCTATTTTGTTGTTCTTTTATTACCGGATCCTGAATATATTTGTCTTATGTCAAAAGCTTCTCTCACGTTCAAACTCAACATTTTCGGCTAGTAATCTATCAACACGTGT